TTCTAAAAAGCAAAACAAAAAGAACAAAAAAAGCTTTGGGTTCTCCCAGCTTTTTCAGGTACATAAGTCACAGGAAGGATTTATTTTCTTCATCACTATTCCACTAGAGTTCAGTTCTTTAACATACCATCATTCTGTCCACTTACCTTTATCTTTCTAATTAAGAACAGATTATAAGGATGATTATCATGGACTACTTCCTTCACTCAAGCAGAATTCAGTAGGTGGAATGAAAACTCCCTTTCAAATGCAAAACTAATAATCCATCGGTAAAGTGCACAGAGAAAAAAAACACCGCTTGCTCTATAGCCTGACAGAATAAACCGACAAGCCAGTTTTATGGAGCATTGCAGAAATTTCAGGACTGGTAACAAGAACAAAAGCAACTGAAAAATTGGTGGTTAAACACCAAGGTGGCAAATGACTGAGCGGCCTGGAAGGAGGCTGTAAGAGCAGAGCAGGTGACATCCTGACACGGTAGCAGCACATTTTCCCTTCTGCTTCTTCAGGTCTCCCATCTCCAAATTCCTATGGCAATTAAGGAACTAGCATTTATTAAATTACTTAATATCCAGAAAACTTACAAGACTACATGTTTATAATAAAAACCTTTAGTACGTTGGTATTTTATCATTCTCCTTAGAACATCCTGATTAAAGGCTTCTCTCACGCGATCATGTCTCGGGTGCTCCTACTCTTCAGTTTGCCATGATGCCTTCAAATCAAATTTCTCACCAAAAAAAAAGCATTGGCAAGCAGCATCAAACCAGCTCAATAATGAAACTCGACGTGGGGTCCAAGTTCTAACTTTGCAACGAAACGCAAACCTATGGTCGCTCCCTTCATGCTGCACCACCCTGTGCAAATCACCTGAACTCCATTTCTAAACAAGAGCTGAAGCACAGGTACATCTACATATGGTTACTCTATGTATTAAGTTGGACGAAACACAACTTTTTCCCCCAAGTTGTTCAAGCATTAATTTGAATTTTTTTTTGTTTGTTTTGTGCATTCAGCTGTGCTTGGGCATTTAAAAGAACAAAAGCTAGATCCTTAAGTCTAGATTTCTCTGCTTCCTCCTCAAACTCTCACAAACAATAATGAAGGAAAGAAGGATTTCACACACACGCCCTTACAAAATCCAGAATCCACCACATTTCTTCCTAAATTATGCACATGAACGCCAACATTTTTCCACACCTCAACCCTGCATTCTCTAAAGTGAATTACAAAAGGGAGCAAAGCAGCCTAGTAACAAGGGATCTCAGGCAAGACCTCCGACTGCTGGTGGGGAGCTAACAGGAATAAGCCCGGTTTCCGCAGCAGCTTGCTATTCTAGCATCTCTTCCAAAGCAGAATGTGGAGAGATATGATCTATTTATGAGTCACTGACTCACATGGTCAAATTTTTGAAGGAAAAAGAAAACGCTACGGTTCAAACGCAAACTGAGGCTAAATATATGCTTTGAATGTATCTGGCCAGCTCTGCTCTTCACCGCTGTTATGACTAATCAGCGGTCACAGCATCCTACCCAGCACCTTTAGCGGCACCCTTGGGAACTCCCCTCTTCCCCAGGGCCTACGGACAAACTCCGGGAAGGAATAAAGGGGGATGCCAACGCTTTAAGCCCAGACACCCAAGCAGCAGCTTTAAGCCTACGCCAATGCTCGATGGAGGCACTGTGGACGCATCCTGGCCTGGCTACCTGCTGGGGACCGCAGCCTGGCCTGGCTACCTGCTGGGGACCGCAGCCTGGCCTGGCAGCTTGCCGCTCCCCCCCCCCGCCCCACGCCCCGGCAGCTTGCCGCTCCCCCCCCCGGCAGCACCGTCGGGCACCAGAGAAAAAGGACATTGCAAGGAAATCCCTCTCTTCTGGGTACACGACGATAACCTCAGGCCCGACCTTCGCAGGCCACGGTGCGGCTCACCCCCTTTCCCCCTCACCACCACTGCCTTCTCCGAGCCCCCCGAGAGTCCTACAGCAGATGGTTGTTCTTCTTTCGAGTTACCAGCTCTGGGGCCTTTGAGCTACGGGCAGCTTTACAGAGTGTAACAAAAAAAGAAAAGAAAGAGACGGAGTCACGTAAGCCTGGCTCGGCCGTTCCCCACCAGAGCCACCGGCTGCCCGGGGCAGCGCCCTCCGGCCCCCTCAGGGAGCTGCGCGGGCAGAGGGCCGGGGAGAAGCCCCGCACCGGCCCGCAGGGCGG